ACTGTGTCTACCTTGTTCACCACTGTATGCTGATTAGTCAGCCCAGTGGCTTGCACACAGGAGTCATCCAGTCAGCATTTGTGGATGAAAACTCTTAGCTCGCATCATTATGAGGTAGGCAGACCTGCAGATATGCTCTAATTCCTTCGCGTGTGTAAGTGTGTGTAAGACCGAGGAGAGTGTGTGTGTGTAAGACCGAGGAGAGTGTGTGTGTATGTGTGTGTGAGACCAAGGTGTGTGTGTGTAAGTGTGTGTAAGACTGAGGAGAGAGTGTGTGTGTGTGTAAGTGTGTGTAAGATCGCGGAGAGTATGTGTGTAAGTGTGTGTAAGACCGAGGAGAGCGTGTGTGTGTAAGTGTGTGTAAGACCAAGGAGAGAGTGTGTGTGTGTGTGTAAGACCGAGGAGAGTGTGTCTGTGTGTATGTGTGTGTGAGACCAAGGGGGGTGTGTGTGTGTGTGTAAGACCGAGGAGAGAGAGTGTGTGTGTGTGTGTAAGATCGAGGAGAGTGTGTGTGTGTGTGTAAGATCGAGGAAGAGTGTGTGTGTGTGTGTATGTGTGTGTAAGACCGAGGAGAGAGTGTGTGTGTGTATGTGTGTGTAAGACCGAGGAGAGAGTGTGTGTGTGTGTGTGTGTGTGTAAGATCGAGGAGAGTGTGTGTGTGTGTGTGTGTGTGTGTGTATGTAAGTGTGTGTAAGACCGAGGAGAGACATGAGTCAAGACTGAAGACTAATAGATCCACAGAGAGCAATAATACCCTATTAGCTAAGTGTTTCCTTCCTGAACTTTCTAGGCAGCTTTGAATTCAGAGGTAACTGTAGAATGAAGATTCCAAGTAGAGCCTGAAATGTGTAATAGGATCAGTTGACAGGAGACTGATCAGGAAATAGGAGCTTGGGTTGGCTGGCAGTGGCTAGAAGAGCAAAAGCCAGTTGTCTCCCAATAGAGAACTCCTAGTTGAGGAGAGTAGTTAACAAGGAGGGTAAGAAATAGATACAGGGCCATTTCTAGCTAAGTTCACTCTAAAGGGATTAAAAAAACACGCTTGTGACATCTTTTAGGTAACACCTATTTGTACGCACGCCATACAAACCAAGATCACGTTCACGCAGTGTGGAAAATCACAAGTGAAGCCATCGATCAGCTGCATCGCTCACTTGAGTCATGTCCTGGTGAGACGGCTGTTGCAGAAGATCCCGCTGGGCTGAAGGTGAGCCAGGGAAGACTCCCGATGCAGTCCCCTAGGACAGTGCTCCAGCAGCCCCATGAAACTGCTGACAGAGAGACTTTCTGAGATACTTTTCCTACAGATAGATGCTTGAATGCCTTCCCTTGCAGAATCCTCTCCTTTTATGCTTAACGGCCAAACAATAACAACAAAACTCCTTTTTTAAAAAAGTCATAAAGTTACATATTTCTATAGCAGTAAAGGATCCATTTGTTGAGTTGGTAGGTGCCACAAGAATGTGAAAGAATTGCTGCTTGGGGCCGGGCGTGGTGGCTCAAGCCTGTAATCCCAGCACTTTGGGAGGCCGAGACGGGCGGATCACGAGGTCAGGAGATCGAGACCATCCTGGCTAACACGGTGAAACCCCGTCTCTACTAAAAAATACAAAAAACTAGCCAGGCGAGGTGGCGGGCGCCTGTAGTCCCAGCTACTTGGGAGGCTGAGGCAGGAGAATGGTGTAAACCCGGGAGGCGGAGCTTGCAGTGAGCTGAGGTCTGGCCACTGCACTCCAGCCTGGGCGACAGAGCAAGACTCTGTCCCAAAAAAAAAAAAAAAGAATTGCTGCTTGTAATGAACTAGTTGGAGTGATAATACATATACAATATATATAAAACAGCAAAGGCTTTAAGACAGAAATAAGTTGTACCTTGTAATATACTATAAAGTACAAAAGGGATTCAGAATAAAGGAAACATCACTCTAGGTCAGTGATTATTTGTTGTCTGCCTACTTTGTGCCTTAAAGGAATTGAAAGCCTTTAGATAGCAGAGAGGAAAGGAACAAAACACCACAATCTGAGTGTTGACTAGTGGGAAGATAAAGAGATTGGTATTCAGAAGTGGTGATCAGGTGTCATCAGTACCTGAGCCAGCAGTAGCAGGTGATGTTACTGAGTAGGAGCCTGGCGTTGGTGAAGGATTAGATCTGAATAGCTCAAGATATACTGTGGAATCGCTGTAGCATTTAAGCAGGGATGGCCGATGAGGATTAGTTTTTCTCACAAAGTACAAGGTAAACTGGAGTACAGAAGGACTAGAAGGGGGACTCTGGTCAAAAGGCTATTGAAATTTATGACCAGCAGTGCAGACTGGGACATTGGCTGCAGAAAGGAGAGGCAAATTTAAGAGATAATGAGGAAATGATGAAATGCCAATGTAATGGCTGCTGAAAGTAGGGTCACAGGTCTTGGTTAAAAGCATAGAGCTGGGCGCAGGGGCTCACACCTGTAATCCCAGCACTTTGGGAGGCCGAGGCAGGCAGATCACTTGAGTCCAGGAGTTCAGGACTAGCCTGGCCAACATGGCGAAACCCCATCTCCACTAAAAATACAAAAATTAGCCAGGCATGCACCTGTAATTCCAGCTGCTCGGGAAGCTGAGGCAGGAGAATTGCTTGAACCTGGGAGGCGGAGGCTACAGTAAGCTGATATCACGCCACTGCACTCCAGCCTGGGCAACAGAGCGAGACTGTCTCAAAAAAAAAAAAAAAAAAAAAGGCTGTAGAGATGGAATTTGACTGATTAAGCAGACAAATCAGGACTCTCACTTGGGGTGTAGGGGGACTCTTAATAGAAATGCCGAACATTAGATGCAACCCAAAACAAACAGGGGCAGACCAGGACAGTATGGTTGCATCTAATGTTAGGCATTTCTATTAAGAGACGGTGCTATTAAGGACTTCAAAGTGAAATGAACGGTCTACATGAGAACAATTAGAATACTGAGGGGATCACTTGCAGAAAATAAAAGAGTAGAGTGTAGAGTTGGTGTAGCCAGGCTTGGCGTAGCCTCTCATTAGGAATTTATGCTTAACATTTGGTTATTACTTTTGTCAGGTCCCTTTGTTACTACACCAGAAGCAGGCGTTGGCTTGGTTACTGTGGCGGGAAAGTCAGAAGCCACAAGGAGGGATTCTGGGTAAGTGTGGTATTATAAGAGCCAGCCTTTATTGAATGCTTAGGCATTGTGCTAAACACATAGTGTTGTTTTATTTAATTCTCTCAAGAACTCTATGAGGCAGGTCCTATTATTCCTCATTTTACAGATGATGAAGGTGAAGCGTGGAAGTGTTAAGCAACTTGCTCAAGAGTACACAGTTGTAGGATCAAAGATTTTGGTTGCCAGCAGTAGAAGCTGACTGGCTGATTAAATAGAGGAGGAGTTTATTTTTTGGCGGCCCCCACAATCTCTGGGAGATACGGAGTGCCAGGCTCAAGGCCAATTTCAGGAGCCATGGCTACAGTCAACACACAAACAGTAGTCTATTGCCTCCCTCTTTTTTTTTTTTTGAGATGGAGTTTCACTCTTGTTGCCCAGGCTGGAGTGCTGTGGTGCGATCTCGGCTCACTGCAACCTCCACCTCCCAAGTTCAAGTAATTCTCCTGCCTCAGCCTCCCGAGTAGCTGGGATTACAGGCCTGTGCCACCATGCCTGGCTAATTTTTTTGTATTTTTAGTAGAGAGGGGGTTTCGCCATGTTGGACAGGTTGGTCTCTAACTCCTGACCTCAGGTGCTCCACCCGCCTTGGCCTCCCAAAGTGCTGGGATTACAGGCGTGAGCCACTACGCCCAGCCTAACAGTAGTCTATAAAAAGCATCATAGCTCCTTTGCTTCACCAAGTGCTAGAGGCAACCAGTGCCACCCCAAAGTCAGTTGTTTCTATAGCCACTCTTTCCTGCAGAAAGGATTTCACAGAGAGTCTCTTTCTGAAGCTGTTTATACCTGAATTAAAGACGTTTATGAGTACATCTGATATATAGAGCTAGGTCATATTGCTAGTGCCTTAGCTGCAACAGAAACCAGAAAGCAAGTTTTCCACTCTGCTTTGGGGACTTGTCAGGCTAAAATTTTCTAAGGTGTTCAATTTTCAGAAGCCATGATAGATGTCCACTATGGCTAGTAAGTGACTGTGTCAGTGGTCCTCAAGACCACCCCCAGGTTCGATAATTTGCTAGTAGGACACAGCATATGGTCATACTCACAGCTATGATTTATTACAGTGAAAGGATATAGATCAAAATCAACAGAAGGAAAAGTCGCAGGGGCAAAATCCAGGGGAAACCAGGTACAAGCTTCCAATATCCTCCCAGTGGAGTCCCATGGGATATGCTTAATTCTCCCAGCAGGGAGTTGTGACAACAGGCGTTCAATGTTCCCTAGGAAGCTCATTAGAGATTTAATGCCCAAGGTTTTTACTGGGGGCTGGTTACATAGGTGGCTTCAGCCTGGTATATACTAAGTTTTCCTGCTCCTAGAAGGAAAGCAGGTATTCAACATAAACCATATTGTTTGCACAAAACAATTTAGGCAGAGTGATCAACTGTTACCTTACATCCGAGTTTCCAGAGGCAACCTTGTAAGCAGGCCTTTCAAAGGATAGCAGACAGGCCTAGGGGCCTGCTATGTTCATTCTTTTTCTGGACAGTAGCAGGGCCAGAATTAAAACCGAGCCCATGCTCTGACATTCTACTTCTGTTACGGCAGAATGATTATTTTGAGTGGGTCAGGATTGCAGTCTGTTAAAATGAGGATAACAGTACTCTGTAGAGTATGAATAATAAATTAGATAAGCTCAGTGATTGGTACAACGACAGTACCCAAGAAATGTTCATTTATGTCCTTTTTTGATGAGTAAGTTAAGGGAATGGAAGGCTATTGTAACTCCAGGAATGTTCTGGTACTGGTAAAGTAAGTAGTAGGATATATCTACTGGACATTTTTTACTTTTGTAGGTAACGGATCATCAAACTGTAATAGATACTGCACATTGTGCAGGTAACAACATAACATAGGGACTAGAATAAGATTCAAATGGTAAGTTTTAAATTTTACAAGACTCATAGTAAATGTCTTGGACCTAGATCTCAAAGAGCAAGTGCTAGGGTTCCGCTGAATAAGGAAGATAAAGGAGCCATTAAGGTAGGCACAGAGTAGTGACTGGAGTGGCACTGACAGTAGAGAGAACAAGGGGCTGACCTCAGGTGCTCCACCCGCCTTGGCCTCCCAAAGTGCTGGGATTACAGGCGTGAGCCACTACGCCCAGCCTAACAGTAGTCTATAAAAAGCATCATAGCTCCTTTGCTTCACCAAGTGCTAGAGGCAACCAGTGCCACCCCAAAGTCAGTTGTTTCTATAGCCACTCTTTCCTGCAGAAAGGATTTCACAGGGAGTCTCTTTCTGAAGCTGTTTATACCTGAATTAAAGACGTTTATGAGTACATCTGATATATAGAGCTAGGTCATATTGCTAGTGCCTTAGCTGCAACAGAAACCAGAAAGCAAGTTTTCCACTCTGAGTGTTGTTTTATTTAATTCTCTCAAGAACTCTATGAGGCAGGTACTATTATTCCTCATTTTACAGATGATGAAGGTGAAGCGTGGAAGTGTTAAGCAACTTGCTCAAGAGTACACAGTTGTAGGATCAAAGATTTTGGTTGCCAGCAGTAGAAGCTGACTGGCTGATTAAATAGAGGAGGAGTTTATTTTTTGGCGGCCCCCACAATCTCTGGGAGATACGGAGTGCCAGGCTCAAGGCCAATTTCAGGAGCCATGGCTACAGTCAACACACAAACAGTAGTCTATTGCCTCCCTCTTTTTTTTTTTTGAGATGGAGTTTCACTCTTGTTGCCCAGGCTGGAGTGCTGTGGTGCGATCTCGGCTCACTGCAACCTCCACCTCCCAAGTTCAAGTAATTCTCCTGCCTCAGCCTCCCGAGTAGCTGGGATTACAGGCCTGTGCCACCATGCCTGGCTAATTTTTTTGTATTTTTAGTAGAGAGGGGGTTTCGCCATGTTGGACAGGTTGGTCTCTAACTCCTGACCTCAGGTGCTCCACCCGCCTTGGCCTCCCAAAGTGCTGGGATTACAGGCGTGAGCCACTACGCCCAGCCTAACAGTAGTCTATAAAAAGCATCATAGCTCCTTTGCTTCACCAAGTGCTAGAGGCAACCAGTGCCACCCCAAAGTCAGTTGTTTCTATAGCCACTCTTTCCTGCAGAAAGGATTTCACAGAGAGTCTCTTTCTGAAGCTGTTTATACCTGAATTAAAGACGTTTATGAGTACATCTGATATATAGAGCTAGGTCATATTGCTAGTGCCTTAGCTGCAACAGAAACCAGAAAGCAAGTTTTCCACTCTGCTTTGGGGACTTGTCAGGCTAAAATTTTCTAAGGTGTTCAATTTTCAGAAGCCATGATAGATGTCCACTATGGCTAGTAAGTGACTGTGTCAGTGGTCCTCAAGACCACCCCCAGGTTCGATAATTTGCTAGTAGGACACAGCATATGGTCATACTCACAGCTATGATTTATTACAGTGAAAGGATATAGATCAAAATCAACAGAAGGAAAAGTCGCAGGGGCAAAATCCAGGGGAAACCAGGTACAAGCTTCCAATATCCTCCCAGTGGAGTCCCATGGGATATGCTTAATTCTCCCAGCAGGGAGTTGTGACAACAGGCGTTCAATGTTCCCTAGGAAGCTCATTAGAGATTTAATGCCCAAGGTTTTTACTGGGGGCTGGTTACATAGGTGGCTTCAGCCTGGTATATACTAAGTTTTCCTGCTCCTAGAAGGAAAGCAGGTATTCAACATAAACCATATTGTTTGCACAAAACAATTTAGGCAGAGTGATCAACTGTTACCTTACATCCGAGTTTCCAGAGGCAACCTTGTAAGCAGGCCTTTCAAAGGATAGCAGACAGGCCTAGGGGCCTGCTATGTTCATTCTTTTTCTGGACAGTAGCAGGGCCAGAATTAAAACCGAGCCCATGCTCTGACATTCTACTTCTGTTACGGCAGAATGATTATTTTGAGTGGGTCAGGATTGCAGTCTGTTAAAATGAGGATAACAGTACTCTGTAGAGTATGAATAATAAATTAGATAAGCTCAGTGATTGGTACAACGACAGTACCCAAGAAATGTTCATTTATGTCCTTTTTTGATGAGTAAGTTAAGGGAATGGAAGGCTATTGTAACTCCAGGAATGTTCTGGTACTGGTAAAGTAAGTAGTAGGATATATCTACTGGACATTTTTTACTTTTGTAGGTAATGGATCATCAAACTGTAATAGATACTGCACATTGTGCAGGTAACAACATAACATAGGGACTAGAATAAGATTCAAATGGTAAGTTTTAAATTTTACAAGACTCATAGTAAATGTCTTGGACCTAGATCTCAAAGAGCAAGTGCTAGGGTTCCGCTGAATAAGGAAGATAAAGGAGCCATTAAGGTAGGCACAGAGTAGTGACTGGAGTGGCACTGACAGTAGAGAGAACAAGGGGTAAATGTCTGCCAGTGGTTTCTCCTCTTGAAGTAGGGTTGATTCTTTGCCCTAAGCAATTAACTCTCTTAATTTTGCTTTTATTTTCTAGCGGATGATATGGGCTTAGGAAAAACCCTGACAATGATTGCACTCATCCTGACCCAGAAGAATCAAGAGAAAAAGAAAGAAAAGGAGAAAAGCACAGCTTTGACATGGCTCTCCAAAGATGGTAGACCGAAGTGCCTTAATAGCCTGCCATTCCCTACGTCATTTGAGCCACCCAAGAGGGGAACGTTTTCAGCTAAAAAAGAATACCTTTGATCATATTTAATTATTCTACTGGAAAATCAGTATTAGATTACTCACCTATCGTATCATTTCTGATGCTGAGTATACTAATTATAAGTGATCATTTTTTCCCTTTTAATATAAACTAGGCAGAATTTTATGGAGAAAGGTGAGGCTCTAGAGCACTTAATTTAAGCATAATAATAATTCTTATTTTTTGAGACAGAATCTCGCTCTCTTGCCCAGGCTGGAGGGCAGTGGCATGAACACAGCTTACTGCAGCCTCAACCTCCTGGGCTCAAGCGATCCTCCCACCTCAGCCTCCCAAGTAGCTGGGACCACAAGTGTGCACCACCACACCCAGCTAATTTTTAAATTTTTTTGTAGAGACAGGGCCTTACCGTGTTGCCCAGGCTGGTCTCAAACAACTGGGCTCAAGCAATCATCCTGCCTCAGCCTTCCAAAGTGCTGGGATTACGGGTGTGAGCCACCATGCCTGGCCAATAATTATTATTTTTGTAAATATTGGGGAAATAACCACAGGGTAGATTCAAATTAATTTTTTTAAAGGAAGATCTGTCACAAATTCACATTTTAATCACTATAGTGGAAGCTATTTTCCATGTTTCTGAAATTCTAGAAGTTCTAGATTATAGACACTTTCTATCTTAGCAAATGTTTTTAAAATGTAGTAACTTTAGCCAGGCACAGTGGTACGCACCTGTAGTCCCAATTGAGGGAGGAGAGTCAGGAGAATCGCTTGAGCTTGGGAGCTTGAGGCCAACCTGGGCAACATAGCAAGACACTGTCTCTTAAAAAAAAATTAAATAAAAAGTAAGAACTTTACAAGTACTTTAAAGATTGAATATGTTATGTATAGATAATACTACATGTAAGTTGCCATGTATTTGAGTACAGTTCTCAGTTGCTTAGATAGATCAAAAATCTATGGCATCTGCTCTCGGGGCCTCTAATGAGCACTGTTGCAGCTGGGTGCTATATCCCTTTGTGTGTAGTAGCAGCATGTGTGAGTAGCACAGGCATACACACGCAGAGATGAGGGGCCATGGTATAAACAAATCATCACTAATTGGTTCCAAACCAATGTTTGCTTATTTTTTAAAAAAGGTTTCTGTACTTAATTTTAAGGTAGAAGTACATACAGTAAGTTATGCTTTTCAGAAAATATAACAATACTCCATACGCCTGTATAATGAATCAACTCAAGAGGAGTTAGGAAATGATCCAGCTTTCACCTCCAGCCACTCTGAAAGCACATTCCTTTTTCACACTAAGGTCATGTGCCACCCACTTTCCTCCCCCTATTTAGCCTCTCTTTCTGCCTGTACTTTTAGCGGAGAAAATAAATAATTAAGTGTTTCAGTTTAAAAGACCATTTCTTGGCCGGGCGCAGTGGCTCAAGCCTGTAATCCCAGCACTTTGGGAGGCCGAGATGGGTGGATCACGAGGTCAGGAGATCGAGATCATCCTGGCTAACACAGTGAAACCCCGTCTCTACTAAAAACTACAAAAAACTAGCCGGGCGAGGTGGCGGGCGCCTGTAGTCCCAGCTACTCGGGAGGCTGAGGCAGGAGAATGGTGTGAACCCGGGAGGCGGAGCTTGCAGTGAGCTCAGATCCGGCCACTGTGCTCCAGCCTGGGCGGCAGAGCGAGACTCTGTCTCAAAAAAAAAAAAACATAAATTAAAAAAAAAATAAAAGACCATTTCTTCCATTTCCTATTTCACTGTAGGCTCTGTATAGAAATAAGAGCAATGGTTAAACATATTAACTGAAGGAGTAAAGTCAGTCAGGAGGAAGAGGTAGTGCCTTTAAGTTAAAGGCTGGTCAACCACGGTGACTCACGCCTGTAATCCCACTGAAGGAGGCTAAGGCAGGAAGATCACTTGAGCCTGGGAGTTCGAGACCAGCCTGGGTAACACAGCAAGACCATGTCTCCATATATTTTAAAAGAAAAAAAAAAAGTTAAAAGCCATTTGGTATATGTAACTAGGCACTGATTTTTTTTCCCTTCTCAAGACTCTTCTGAGTTGACTTCCCATGGAACACTAATCATCTGTCCTGCCTCCCTGATCCATCATTGGAAAAATGAGGTGGAGAAACGGGTGAACAGCAACAAACTAAGAGTCTATCTCTACCATGGGCCAAACCGGGATTCACGTGCCAGAGTGTAAGTGCAGGAATACGCAGTTGTGGGACCATTCAGCACCTCTGCTCAAGGGCCTGTGGGCCTTTACTCCCCTCCCGAGATTTCACTTAATCAGGAAGCATATTCGTGAAGGCCAAAGACAGATCTTCAGTCTCGTCACCATACAGCCTTTGCCTTGTATCCTGAGGTCTATTAGTGATCTTTTGCTGTCCTTGTCATTGTCCTCAATGAAAGCTGCCCTGTGAGGAGGCCTGAGATGCCTGAGCTGCCAGTCAGGTGGCAGCAGCATTCCCCTAGTCAAAAGAGATGTTTCGCAAGGCCCTCATGGCTGCTGGACTTCTCATTCCAGGTGTATATAGTGTGAATGGAACCGGCCCAGTTCTACAGAGCATCTTAATAGAATGCTAATGATTAGTTTCTATAGGTTGATTATATTTTTATGACTTTTTAATATATGAACCATCTAAGATGCTTTAGACTCAATAATTTAGGATGATTAGAGCTAACTGTAAATTCTTGAAGAGGGATGCTCAGAAAGGAGGAAAGAAAATGCTTCCCCACGTGGCAGTCTTAGTCCTAGTCTTTGTCTTTTGGTTTTAAAGGAATTGTTTTCTGTTCTTAATAGCGAAGTGAAGATCTAGATTGAATACTGGCTGCTGTAGTGAAGGATGAGAACAAAGTTATTTTTGCTTCTAAGTAATTTCTCTCCCCAGCCTCTAATCTGGATATTTTATCTCCTAAAGAACAGGGCAGCAGTCTTTCAGGAGTAAGTTGTTAGATCGGTGCCCCTCTGTCTCTGACACACCAGTTCTCATGACTGAGAGTCGCTTCTGCAGGCAAAAGGCATCAGGGTGGCAGTGGCAGGCCTGCAGGCCTTCCCTGGCATAGATTACTGTGAGTTGCCTGCCTTTGTTCTAAATTTTTAGTTAGAAATAAACTGAATCTCACCTGATTTTTACTTTGAGCATAACTTGTTTGGTATTTAAAATGTACTAGTTGACCGATTAGAATCATTCTCAATTACACTTCTTTATATGATGCTAGGGTAACTTACAGACACTGCTGCCTCTCTGAATCAGGCATATCATTTTTATCAAAAGTATTTATTGGGGTTCTCTTAGGGCTGGACATGGTGGCTTATGCCTATAATCCCAGCACTTTGGGAGGCCGAGGCAGGCGGATCACTTGAGGTCAGGAGTACGAGACCAGCCTAACCAACATGGTGAAACCCATCTCTACCAAAAATACAAAAATTAGCAGGGTGTGGCAGTGTGCACTTGTAGTCCCATTTACTTGGGAGGCTGAGATGGGAGAATCGCTTGAGCCTAGAAGGTGGAGGTTGCAGTGAGCCAAGATCATGCCCATACACTGTAGCCTGGGTGACCAGGGTAGATTACTCACCTATCATATCATTTCTGATGCTGAGTCTGATAATTATAAGTGATCATTTTTTCCCTTTTAATATAAACTTGGCTTGATCTATGATTAGCAGAATTTTAATTATTTTATTTCCATAAATACTTTATTACTTTACTTTTGAGACAGGATAGAGTGAGACCCTACCTTGTCTCAAAAATAAATAAAGTATTTATTGAAGTTCTCACAATATTAAGCTTCACTGGAAAAAGATTTGTGTTTCTCATTAAGAATCTTTGTATGTAACAAGTATAAGCAAGATACACTGAAAGCTTACAGCATGTATTTTTATATCCTAATGTCAAACTAGATCAGTGAATTTTCACAAATCCATTATAGAGTGGTGGAAAGCAAGCAGCATTGAAATAAGGTGAACAGTGCTCTGAGGGTATCTTTCTCCCTGGACTTTGGTGTCATCCATCTCAAATCATGATTAAATGTTAATTCCCAACTCTATCCTACTTTCTGTTCTGGCCAGATCATATTAAGCATTATATTATCCCAGCCAGAGATTTTTCTTTCTGACTCACTGGATGGTAAGAGGGAGGCTGTGGTAGCTATAGAGAGCAGGTGGTAAATGATCAGAGGTAAAAGATAGGGAAACCAAGTGGGTAAAATTTACCTCCAAAAGTGTGTGTGTATGTGTGTGTGTTAAGGACACAAGTTAATGAGTTCTGCTGTTTGTCCTTCCATTTGTAGGCATTTTTATTGAAAGATCAACTCTGTCCCTCTCATTGTCATTCTATAGTGGGACCATTTATTGATTTCTTTGTTATGTCTATGCAGCCTCTCTACATATGACATCGTGATCACTACCTATAGCCTCGTGGCCAAGGAGATTCCCACAAACAAGCAAGAGGCAGAGATCCCAGGTGCAAACCTCAGTGTGGAGGTGAGGCTGGGGGGCGGCAAGGGAAGTGGAGTTGGAGCCATGGATGGTTTAATGGCAGTGTTTCACAGCCTCTGTGATAGAAAGAGGACCTTCCTGGAGGTCAGGAATGCTGTAAATGATCTGCATGTGGAAAGGAATTGTTCTTTCCTCTATCCCATCGCCCTTATTCCAGACAACCACCTCAGTGAGAAAGGTCAGCATAGGCCACAGGATTCACCTGCCTTTTAGAACGAAAGATGACTACATTGTATTTGTGGGGGTAATGATCACCTGAATATATAAAAACCTCACTTGTTGCTATTTTTATTTTAGAGTATTTCATATTTTTAATATTGATTGTGCAGACTAGCATTTTACTACTAGTGTTTTGATTTTAAGCCATCATTCCCTGCCTCCCTTTACTTCCCAGAAAAAAAGGGTTGCAAATAATAGGGCTATAATGGGCCAGGGGCTAAGTGACAATCGTGAAGACATGAGGGTCTTCTAGGGGGTCCAGGGCAGCCTCAGTTATGTGATGTAGAGGCTTTATCATGGAATTATACTCTGAAAATACAATGTCATCCCAAGAACCCATCTTTCCGTATGTTATCCTTTTAGCCCAATAGGATATTCACAGGTTTCTTTATTTGGAGAGATCTCTAGAGAGAACATCTCTCTGGCTTATAACCAACTCTGACTTACAGACGATGAAATTTTCAGATTCCTCACTGATTTTCCATTGCTTTTGGGATACACCCTAAATTTCTTTTCATGATGTATTAGGCTTTATTTATTTATTTATTTATTTATTTGAGGCAGAGTCTCACTCTGTCGCACAGGCTGGAGTGCAACGGTGCGATCGTGGCTCACTGCAACCTCCGCCTCCCGGGTTCAAGCGATTCTCCTGCCTCAGCTTCCCAAGTAGCTGGGCTTACAGGTGCCCGCCACCACACTCGGCTAATTTTTTTGCATTTTTAGTAGAGATGGGGTTTTGCTATGTTGGCCAGGCTGGTGTCGAATTCCTGACCTCAGGTGATCCACCCGCCTCGGCCTCCCAAAGTGCTGGGATTATAGGCATGAGCCACCGGGCCCGGCCGTATTAGGCTCTTTATGATCTTGCCCTACCTGTATGTGGCTCATCTCTCTGACACCCTGCCCGTCCCCAGGGCACCTCGTGTTCAGTCATACCAAGAGATCTGTAGTTCCCGCCATGCTCTGTCACAGCGTTGTGTCTGTTCTCCCTCCGAATGAAATGCTTTACCTCCACTGCTTCTCCCAGGTTAATTTTTTTAAACCTGCTTCAAGAATCTTTTCTGGACCACTCCCTTCCCACCTTCCCCCAATTTGCTTGAATGCCTCTGTCAGCACCTCATGCTTACATAAGTTGTAGCGCTTTGTTTCTTCAGCAGACGTTGAGTATCTGCTATGGGTCAGGTGCTGTCTTGTCAAGAGCAGCCAGATTCCCACTTCAGGTATTGAATTAGACAGTAGGACTTACTGTATCTACATCATATTGTAATTATCTTTTTCACTTGTTTTTCTCCCCTGCTAGATTTTGAGCTCTTGAGGGTAGGAACTGTTTTTTATATCTGGCTTAGCATCTCACATCTAAAAGTAGACTTTTGGAAAACTTTTAGTAAATTTAGTAAATATTTTATTGAGTGAGTGAATTTGCAGGTTCAATTCCTAGTGTAGTCCTGGTCTACAGCCATTGCTTAAGTGTGGATTTAAAGAATAAAAGAAAACTCAAATTTGAAAACATTTTACTCTTAGCCATCTTATGTTCAAAGACTGAGACTCTCAAATGACTTATTTATTTGAACCAGTTGAGAGGTTTTACTCTTAGGTTTCTTAATTCTTATTTCAGTGTACCTGATCTAAGCAAATTTAAAGGTAAAGGTGGGTCCTCCATACTTGGCTGCTAGTTCCCCTTGTTTCCTTGAGGACATGTACATTTTCCCATACTGTGGCTAGATTTCACTTGTGATTCTTCCAGCGCACCTCAACACCTTTGCTTCAAATAGCCTGGGCTCGAATCATATTGGATGAAGCTCACAATGTTAAGAATCCCCGAGTGCAGACATCCATAGCTGTGTGTAAGCTACAAGCCTGTGCCCGTTGGGCTGTCACTGGAACCCCCATTCAAAACAACTTATTGGATATGTATTCACTGCTGAAGTGAGTAACTTCTTGTGATTGTGTAAATATGACTCCTGTCTGTATCCCTTCATCATTATTTCATGTCTCATAATAAAGCCTTAGTATGTGCCAGATTATCTTGTTTAGCAGATGGCAAGCCTGTCAACCTTTAAAGGACAAAAGAATAAATATTTATGAGAAAATAGCTGTTGATTGGTTGATATAGGACTTTGATTACATTCAGCCCTAATAAATATGCAAACATATAGGACAGCTTGAATTAAATTATTCTTGAGTCCAGTGAATGTTTTCGGCTACTTCTGCTTTAAAACATATGGTCTAGGGCCAGCACTACAATTTATTTGAAGCAAACAGAAAATAATGCTGATTTTAAAATATTTCCTTTTGGCTGAGTGTAGTGGGTCATACCTGTAATCTCCACACTTTGGAGGGCTGATGTGGGAGGACTGCTTGAAGCCAGGAGTTCAAGATTAGCCAGGGCAGTAAAATGAGACCCCATCTCTACAAAAAAATAAAAAAATTAGCCAGGTACAGGGGTGTGCACCTGTGGTCCCAGCTGCTCGAGAGGCTGAGGCAGGAGGATCGCTTGAGCCCAGGAGTTCAAGGCTGCAGTGAGCTAGGATTATGCCACTGCACTCCAGCCTGGGTGGCAGAGTGAGACCTCAGTCTCTCAAGAAAAAAATTAAAAATAAATAAAATACTTATTTTTATTCGAGTCAGCCATAATAGGATGTGAAATTTCTTTCTTAGCCCCTGCAGCTTGAGGAACAAATTCTAGCTGTTGGTTATATGTCTTGTTGTGACAACGTAGGTGTTGTTACTAGGAAAACTCACATTTTTACAATGTAGTTTTGTTATTGACTTACATCCTTTTGATCTGTCCAGCAGAGGTTTGCTATGAAATTCACTTTTTAAAGTGATTGGATGACAGATGTAACAGAAAATCTGATTTGTGTTTCATCTTACATCTTACTTTGAACTTTTATTCCATTCTCCCTGACTTCTCCTTCCCTATTCTGTGCCCTTCTTCCTCAACAAAAAAGGTTTCTCCGTTGCTCTCCATTTGATGAGTTCAATCTGTGGAGGAGTCAGGTTGACAATGGCTCAAAGAAAGGAGGAGAACGGTTAAGTATTTTAACCAAGAGCCTTTTGCTGAGGAGAACAAAAGACCAGCTGGACTCTACTGGCAGACCTTTGGTAATCAAGTTTGTACCTGACCCTGGGGGAGGCCGGGAAGGAGCATGACTGTCCTTGTCTTGGGTTGAACAGCCATCTGCTTTGCTTCAGGAGCCTCTGACTCTCCCATCCTCCCGTGCGGAGGCCCAGGGTTGCAGTTCCTTGCCTAGTGTCACAGCAATCCAGTTGTACTGTATGTTGGAGCAGTCCTGTGTTTAAGAAAGGGTGGAAGCTGCATTCCAGGGGTTGACTAGCTCTGCAGTGTCAGTATGTGGGGAATTTCTTCTGTAATAGGTAATTCGTATAGCTTCTTGCCAGCTTTTTTTTCGTTTGTTCTTCCAGGTGATACTGCCCCAGCGTAAATTTCAGTTGCACCATTTAAAGCTTTCTGAAGATGAAGAGACTGTTTACAATGTGTTTTTTGCAAGATCAAGGTGTGTGTATTAAAGAAGCACCTTCTCACACACACTGTTTTATTCCTGTCTTCTTTTCTTGGGAGTGAGTTAAAGGTCAAATTTCCACAAACTTTATTTGTGGCATTATTGATTAGTTGGATGTCTGTATTCCTTTTTTTTTTACTCCATTTTTCTGCTTCTCCCCTCCCCAGCTTACCTCTGTCTCATACACACATGGAAGGCAACATTTTGAATCTACTCTTCATTGACTTCTTTGCATAGAAGTCATAGGGTGTGGTCACCATATACTCAATCTGTCTGGTCCTCATGGGGTTGTACTGAATGATATCTCTTCGACATTTGACCTGTCAGCCAGCATCTCACTGGAACTTTAAAGAGACTACTTTAATCCTTTGTGTCATCTGTTCTTTGCACTGTCTCTTGAACTGTTATCCTTCCCTGAATTCCAGATTTACTGTCTCCTATTTGGTACCTCTCATTTACATTTCTGATGTAAATATATTTTTTCTTCTTTTACACCTTATATTTATTAGCTTATTTTTTTTAAAAAGATTTGTTTTTAAAAATAACTCTTTTGCATTACCTTTGGCCATTACTTCTTATGAGCTTGGCATCATTTAACAAGTCCACTTATATAATTTGTCAAGATCCCACTGCAGGCACAGTTAAGCAGGTCTTAGTGACCATTATACCTTTTTTGTTTTTTCTTTTTAATCTGAGGCAGGTCAGCTCTGCAGTCCTATCTAAAAAGGCATGAAAGTAGAGGCAACCAATCTGGAAGAAGCCCTAATAATCCATTCAATAGAGGTAAGCTGTAGAACTCTCATAAATACATATGACTGATGATAATGGGGATTTGGATTCAGTGAAACACAGAAATGTGAGGTTATGAATCCTTGGTATCAGAGATTTGACCTTAACTAAGACCCTCAAACCAGAGTAAAATCTACTGATCTGCGAACATGAGATCTGGTGTTTATTTAACTTCTTTTTAATTGTTTCCTAAATCTGCTTTATTAAAAGGCAGGTAGTTGTATAAGGAAAACCGATATTTCATTTGGCCTAATTGGCATAGAAGTGAGTGATAACTATATTATTGAGTCTGAGATCAAACACGGTTAAAGTAGCCCCATGTAGTTCCCAGCTCTCTCTGTATTTCTCTTTTAAATCCCGTACCATCCTGTGGCTTGTCTTCCCTCTTGGAAGTGGCACTGGAGTTTGGGTCCGAGGAGCCTAGACACCCTGAGGCAGCAGACTCACCGAGATCCAGCACCGTCCACATACTGTCCCAGTTGCTGAGACTGCGCCAGTGTTGCTGTCATCTTTCTTTACTGAAGTCGGTAAGAAAAGCCCTCAGCCTGCTGTCATATAGCGCTCCAGAGGGGCCACCGAGAAGTCAGTTTCACTCTCCTCCAACTGGAGTCCAGTCTGCTTGATCAAAGGAAATGCTGTGTTGGTTTTTCTATTTTTGTTTTTTTGGTGGGTTGGAGAAAAGGGGGCTTATTTATTTTGCTTTATTTCATATTAATCTTGATAATTCCTATGGCATCAAGAATAGTGTATTTCTATTGTTTATTTTGTTTTAGATTAACTGTTTAAGAAAGGAAAATGACGTTTTGTTTAAAAAGAAGCCTTTTGTGAATGCTCTGCTACTTCAGAATGTTATAAAGCTAATTTAGTTCTTGGGGTTTTCTGCTTTCAGGCAGTCTTGGAGTTTTGGGTTCCAGTTATAAAAACTTAGATAGTTACACAAACTGAAAAGTTGCCTCTACATTGGAGAGAGGCACATCCAAAATTAAGAGGAGTATTTTATTCATTTCAGGAGCTGTAATAATGTATTCTGATTATCAATATCTCAACTAACTATATTCTAGCTTGGAAAAATAGAATGATTATGTTATCTGCCTGGCAAGTCTTTAAAAAGTTCCATCATTTGGTTTATCTTTAATCTGGTGAAAACACTTGCAAGATCACACTTTAATCGAGGTGTCTTGAGGTGTTACTGATGACAAATTACAAGACATTTTGTCTGTGAAGTGTTAAACTATCAAAACATCATCAACAAGTAACAAGGTTTGCTGCCTTGACTTCCAACCGCTCCTGTCCTTTTTTATTTGTTCAGGCCCTGGATCCAATGGAACTGAAGGGTGAAGGTCTCGTCCTTTCCCTGGAAGAACAGCTCAGTGCTTTGACCTTGTCAGAACTCCGTGACTCAGAGCCGTCTTCCACTGTTTCCCTTAACGGCACCTTCTTCAAGACGGAACTTTTTGAAGACACACGAGACAGCACCAAGGTACTTTTTGTCTCCTCTATAGTAGTAGAGAGACTTCGATTCCTCACACATTTTCCTGTGTGACAGCACCTCATTTGTCCAAGTGGGAACAGCCATTTGCCAGCAGAGCTAGAGCCATCAGATTCTAGCTGATCGGATTCTCCCTCCAGTCTTAAAGCTTCATTTATTTCACAGATAACACTAAAGCCTTACTACATAGGGGGCTTTCAGAGTAATTTGGGACAGCCCCAGCATTGCACTGAAGCAGGTTTTCTGTCGTGGGTCACCGGGGAGCTTGCCAGGTTTGTGCTAGGGACGGGGCCTATGCAAGTGAGCATTTGTTTAGAGAAAGCTTAAAAGGAAAACAAAGGCTTCACTCTAGAGACTGTGTCGTACATGTGAGTGCCAATTGCTCTGACTTTGAAAGACTTCCATATGTGAGTAGTGTTTCCTACAGAGCCTTCTATCTTCATTAGTCATTCTGCTCTGTTTTCATCAGAGCTTTTTAAGGCAGAAACATTCTGCTGGAGGAAGGCTGACATATGCCGTAACCTGAGTCCTGCCTATCTGCTGGCTTGAAATGTGCTTCATCATCCTGCCTGTCTTGAAAGTGGAGCTTGTTTCTCTCTCAGCATCTCAAGCTGCCATTCTTGGGCTCAACCTCTCTTCAAAGGCTTTTTTTGAAAAAGTGTATTAATACCTAGAAAGGAGGTCACTTCCAGGGGAATGGCATTATTTTTTAGAAGAAATGCTGCCTTTTAATTAATATTTTAAAACATTTACCTAGGTCTTTACCACTCATAGCTGAGAGAAACATAAGAAGAGCATCCCATGTGGCCAGAACACACATGCTAGTGCCTTCAGAGTGAGCTACTGGGCTAAAACTTATATTCCTCATCATTTGTGTTCCTTGTTTAATTAAATGCAGGCAATGTTTATTCACAAGTTTTCTTAACATATGTCCATTAATAGTTGAAACCACGTAAGGTTGTTTCAAGTAGGGAAGGAGGCTTCTTACTGGAATTTGATCCTGGCTCATGGGCCACAAATCCAGCCCCCCTGCTGCAGTTTTCTCAAAACACCATGGCCAGCTTTTTCATGTGGGAGTCACAGCGCCCTTCCGCAGTCTCAAGTTGCCAAGACACCAGGCACATCAGTGTCTCTGTTCTATTGTTAACTAAATAACAGATGTACCTGCTTTTCTGTCTGCTGATTTGAATTGTACAGTTCTGTGACTCACTTCCTGCCTAGGCAGCAGAATGTTAAGATTGGAAAGCAGCCCCATGGGGTGACCACTGGAACGACATCCTCGAATGTGGGAGCTCAGGGCACCTCAGAATTTATCTGGCCTAAGTCCTTCTTTTCACTGATAAGGAATCTGAGTCTCAAAGAGGTTCAGCCATACGAGGACAGAGGAAGAACTTCTGTATATTTATCTCCTGATTGATTTACAGTCCAGTTTTCTTCCTTTTCCAGCATTCTGGGGGTGAACTCTGGGGCCCTTAGAGGCTTTTGGAAGGTTTTTCACATGAGCAGCTGGGAAGAATTAATCCAGCTGCACTCCAAAGTCATGCCCCATGCGTTCTTACTGCCAGCTCCCCTGGGGACTCAAATGCACCCTAAGGGTTCTTGGGGAATATCCAGAGAGCCTGTTCAGAAGCTTTAACAATCGTTCCTCCGTCTGGAGAGGTCCTTTTCAACAACATTTGGTACAGGCCGTAAAGTGGGTAAAACTCTTTCACTTTCTTCTTCAGCAAGCATTAAGAGAGTACCTTCTCTGTTTTGGCCATGTGTGTACTCACAGCCCCTCACACATGGCCGAAACAGAGAAGGTACTTTCCTAATATTTGCCTCCCTGGAGTGTCTCAAGTCCTGGAAGCAAGAGATAATAAGCAACTAATATATAGTATGACAAGGTCTGTGATAATAGAAACAAAAGGTGCTACGACAGTACATGGGCAGTAGGCATCTAACCCATACTTTGGGGGTTGGGAGGACCTCCACTGACACAAAAGGGTGTTCTAGGCAGAGGGAACAGAATGGATGAGATAGCCAAAGTGTGATTTATGGGAAGAATTTTGGTGTGACTGCTGTGTCGTTTGAGGAGGGCATAGTGAGAAACGAACCCAGAGAAGCAGAGGCTGGAGCAGCAAGGATCCGACAAGCTGCCTTGAGGAGCTTGGCCTTTATCCTCAGTGGGAAGCTATGGAAGGGCTTTAGCCAGAGGGGTGAAGTGACAGACTCACATTTTAGGAAGAGGTTTCCGGCTACAGAGAGGAGGGTGGAATAGAGACAGGTGAGGCCGGAGCACAGACGCCATCTAGGAGCCTGCTTCGCATGGCAGGTGAGAGGAGATGGAGAAAAGTGAATTGCTTAAACATACAATGTTGATGTAACCTTTTCCCAGATTTCATCTTTGTTGGCAGAATTGGAGGCAATTCAAAGAAATTCAGCGTCCCAAAAGAGGTAACTGTGTTTTCTCATTATCCAAGTATTGGTCATAATTATGTGAGAAAATTTGATATTGCCGAGAGTCATAAATCAAGGACTGTGAGTCACGCTCAGCAGAAAGCACTGAGGTTATAGCACACATTCCCTGTGATTTCTAATTAAAATATTTTTGGTGCAAATTGAAAAGGACATCCCTACAGGATCAGGGTAAGCTAAGCATCTGAAGAAGAGTTTAAAAGTAGAAAAGCATATAAAGAAAAGCAAGGGAGTGAGCAGGCGCCAGCAGTGCTGATAACGTTCTTAAGCTGGGTACTTGGATACAAGGAGTTTCATTTTGTCATTTGCTATACCTGACATATGTGCTATACACCTGCATTTGTATATGTGAAATAATTCAATATAAAAATGTAGGACTCTAATTAAGACAGCGTGGGGGCAGGGAGGAGCCTTAGCAGCCTGTTGCTCTGGCTGGCACAGGAAGGGTTGTCAGTGTCCATTTTGTGCAGGACCACAGATTTCTGGATGAGCACTAGGCCCCCAAATAAAAGAAGGCTGGAGGCATCACTTTAGTCTAGCTACCACTTTTTTCTGACTTCATTTAGCACTAAATAAATTGTAGCAATGATCTAGAAATAACTGGAAGCATTATAATCTTCAGACATGACCTAAATGTATGCCTTCTTTCTTAAGTAGCAGAAGCCCTTTCCTTGTCAACATTTGATAGCCAATCTTAAGAATGATGGGGGCATTAAAGCCCTGCAGATGAGTCTGTGTAATCTATGTTAGGGTATTTTTTATTTTATCCTTCTTTCCAGTGTCATTGTCTCTCAGTGGACCAACATGCTGAAAGTTGTAGCATTGCACCTGAAGAAGCATGGACTGACTTATGCCACCATCGATGGCTCTGTCAACCCCAAGCAGAGAATGGACTTGGTAGAGGCATTTAACCACTCCAGAGGCCCTCAGGTACAAGCTGGTCACATCAGAGCTGCATAATTAACTGTTCTGAGTTATATAAGAGAATTCTTTTTGTTTGTTTCATTCTTGTTTTTGGTTTTTTGAGATGGAGTTTCACTCTTGTTGCCCAGGCTGGACTACAGTAGTGCTTTCTCGGCTCACCGCAACCTCCACCTCCCGGGTTCAAGTGATTCTCCTGCCTCAGCCTCTCAAGTAGCTGGGATTACAGGCTCCTGCCACCACGCCTGGCTAATTTTTGTGTTTTTAGTAGAGACGAGGTTTCACCATGTTGACCAGGCTGGTCTTGAACTCCTGACCTCAGGTGATCCACCTGGCTTGGCCTCCCAAAGTGCTGGGATTACAGGCATAAGCCACTGTGCCCAGCCATACAAAGAGAATTCTAATATGGCAACTTAAAAATATTTACAGCCTTGATTCCTCCAAGTGTTTAGAATTTATTAGACATGTATTAGGGTACTTTTAAAGAGCACAAATATTCTAAAAAGAATAAAATAGGCCGGGCGCGGTGGCTCAAGCCTGTAATCCCAGCACTTTGGGAGGCCGAGACAGGCAGATCACGAGGTCAGGAGATCGAGACCATCCTGGCTAACAC